GGGGGGGGCAGTAAAACGATGATCTCAACCGAGCCGTGCACACAGCCCCAGGGTCAGGCTGTTGCAGACACATCATTGCAATGTTTGACTTGCTTTCCCAAAACTCCCAGCAGCTTACACCAACTGATTTCTAAATTCAGGACATAACGTTACACTGAAGCCTAAACCTGCTGTTTGTGTCTTGCTCAATGTGACAAACGTATGTGAGCGTGACCCAAGACAGATTGCTCTTCGCTGTACGCAGTGACCGTACGGACGCCGTGTCCTTCAGAGGAGTTCAAATAAACATGTTTAATCTAAGTAGGTTAGTAGACTAAGAGGGGGTGTCTCTGCCAGGCTCAAAGTTGTCTTGTCTGTCTCTGTGGTCAATGATAAAACAGTCTAATTACGCAGTGCAACGGTTCACACTAGATGTTAGCTACGAAGGCAAATAATCAGGGCAGGAGAGAGTGAGGGGGTAAGAGAAAACATTTTGAAAGAGAATACGACACACCTAAATTTAATCCTGCACTAGTTGAGCAAGGTGCCAGCGTGTGCAACGTGTTTGAAGCCTGTATGCGCGAGTGTGTGCCAGCGGGTTCAAATTCACTTTTACTGGAGTCTATAAAAGTGTTACGAAACACAGATTTCTAATATGAACTGCCAACGTTTGCCGGACTCGACACTTTGGATGTGTTGCATTTAATTCCATATAATAATTCAAAGTAAACACCAGTGACGTTTACCCAAGAGGTCCATCAGCAATATGGCCATTAGAAGGGCATGGAAACTTCTCTAATATCTGTTTCATATCATTTTAAGTTGAATATCACTGGCCTTTGGAGTATTGGTTCAACATAACAAGCAGCTAAAGACGTCCCTTTGGTTGTGTGGCAGACAATTATCACTATTTTCTGACAACCTATAGTTTAAACAGAAACATTTAATTGAAAAAAAAAAGACAAAAAAAAAAAACAATCATCAGATTACTCAATGAGAAAATGTGTGGCATCCCAATCAGATTTCTTCCACGAGCATTAAATCCTTACAGCTGAAAAGTGATCACGTGAATCCCATCCCTAAAGATCAATTCAAACTGTTGCCAGGAGCCACTGTAAATACGCCTCTGCTCAGGCGACACGAGAGCACAGCGGTTGACCCAGCGTGAACACAGAACAGTGGAGACACTGTGCCATTATGTACTGCATGTAGCACTTAACATGTTCATGTTGCATAACCATGTGTTGGTCACCATGTAATATATATGATATATGAGGGTGAAGGATAACCAGCGGAAAGGTAAAATGCCATTCAGCGGTACGACTACACAGAGGGAGAAAATAAATCATCACAATTCAGACAAAATTAACAAATATTGTGATAAGAGCTCTAACTCAGAGTCAAATTACCTTCTGTTGTGATCTGAAACACATCCAGTTGCACTCCACTTATAGATTATGTCAACAATTTCTGGCTGGACGTCTCTGATGAATAATTCCCTCGGAGTATTTAGTGTTAGTATTCCTCAGGCTCAAGTGAAGCCTTCCTCGGGATGAAGGTCAATAATATGACATTTTGAAGCCTTGATTCATTTCTTCACTAAAAATCCTTAATTGTTTGTTTTAATTGACATATTAGGATTAAAGGATCAATCCAATAGATACGGGGACTTTCCATTAATTAACGGGAGCAGTACTTCCATTAAAAAGGGAGGGAAACAAAAAAATGCATGTTATTTGGCAACTGTTTTAATAATACACCCATCTTTTAAGTCATTTATCAAGGAAAAAAACCAAACCTCCACTGGTAGCTGGCATCTTTTACATAAATGTAAATTAAAAACGTTTTTGGTTTTAGACTATTGGTCAGACAAAAACACTTTAAGCAAATTATGATGGAAATTTATTTTAACATTTTCTAACCTCTAAAAACATCTGCAACAACTTGTATTCAACTGATTATTTAAGTCATTTATGAAGCAAATATTTGTTTTGTTTTTTTTACTATTTGACGAAGAAAACAAGCAATCTGATAATCTCACTGTGTCCTCTGGGCGACTGTGATGGACATTTTTCACATTACTCAAGAAAACAAACGTTACATTAATGCATTAATAATTAAAAGTGAAATTAATGAAAATATGAAGTGACACCTATACATTTCAACAGACTCGTCCCAGCTGTAAACTGCTTTGTAAACAGCTAAAATTAGCCCCGATAACAAAATAAGCCTCGGCACTAATACCATACAGAAGAAAACAGTTTAAAAAATTAAAGGCAACACGTGAACGTGTCGACTCAGACTGCGGAGGAGTCTTATTTAAATAAAATCGTTCATTTCAGAGCGAAACCCCGAGATACTTTGCGCGTCTACATGTGCTAAAAAATAATTAAAATCTCCAGCAGAGATCCGAGGAGCGACACAAACTAGTGAACGTGTGAGTAAGTCCATGAAGTGTGTATAATATGTGCTTTGAAGTGCACAGAATAACCCGCTACATAACACATTATGTAACGTAACAGTTACTGATCTGTGTGTGTGTCTGTGTGTAACCGGGGCCGGATCGCGGTGGCTCAGAGCCCGCTAACACTAACACTAACACCAGGTGTCCGGGCCTACCTGGAAAGTTGGTGGAAGGATTGAACCGTGTTAGCCGAGGGAATGCTAAGTGGCTACCTCACGGTGCTAACAGGCCACACACACACACACACACACACATATAGCTGTGCTGTCAATGAGCGGGCCTAAGGTGAAAGCTATCCCAGGAAACAACAAAGGGTAGCGGGCTCGGTGGCTCAAAGTCTTGTTTTCGCCGCAGTCGCCAGGTGCGTTTGCGTGAAAACAGCCGAAACGCAAAACAACGCGCCGAATATAAAAGACGTGTTTCGCTATTAAAGCACGTAAAACCCGCACCGAGGTCAAACTCCACTCCGGTTCGGGTGCTTGAGGCCAAACAAAGTGGCCCGCTATCCGCTACCAGCTACCCGCTAGCACGCTGCTACAGCATGGCAGCATCCGTGAAGCAGGTCAACAAAACAAGCCTCCGCTGCGGGGATTACCACATCTCCTCTCACACACACACACACACACACACAGGACAGGCGACGTTCAGGGTTTAAAAGTTCACGTTACCTGGCATTGTGCTCTCGGTGTTCGCCTTGAAGTGTAACGTTACTCAAAGTGGTTGCAACTATACAGCGAGGACTGCGTGTTCGTCGTTTCTCCAGCGGGGATTACTTCTCGCTGCTGCTGCTGCGATGCAACGTAGCTCAACTTAGCTAAATCCTGTTAGCCACCTTGCTAACGTTGGAGAGCTGGGTCGGTCACGTGGTCCGGTGCCGCGTTCAGGGTCTCTCGAGAATGTGGGGGGTTTGTATGCTAATTTCACACCAACCAAATGTGGGAGGGAAAGCAAACCGCATTTGTTTTTTTCTTCCACAAGCCAAAGTAACATCTTTAAATGTCTTGTTCTAACGCAAAGATGATAGAAAACATCTGTGTGACTGGAACAAAGGAGATGTTCACACTCTTGCCATATTTGCTTGATAAATAACGTTGATTCATCAATTAATCGTTTCAGCTCTAATTTTGAGCAAACGTTAATTAAAAAAACAACACATTTTTTATTTAATCTTTTGTTTTGAAGGCACAGTATGAACAGTTCAGCCTCATGTAATCCATAACAGTGGAATACACTTAACTGCTCTGATCAGTTTGATTAATGTATGTGTGATATTGGATCCATTTGCCATCTCATGATCTATATGGATAGAGAACAATCAACACTATTGATATTTTGATACAGAGTTCCACCACACTGACCCGCCCTATTTCAGAGGTTTGAATTCCTCTGAATATTGTGGAAACAGCAATATTAAATAGGGATACTATTTAAATATACTATACTATTTAAAATACTAATTTCCATGTGAAGGATGAACAGCGTTACCACTGACAAATACGAGAGGACGCTGCATGTGCAGAGCAAACGAAAAACAAACTGACCAAAGGGTCGTCAGAGTCGATGTTTGTTTATTGTGCAGAAAAATATTTGCAGCGATGCACAGAAACAGACGTGGCCCGGATATGCAAGCAGCTACACAACAAACATCTGGTTATATCCCACCACAGTATTTCCATTCCTATTCCCCACAGAGGCTAATATTGCATGATTAGATGATGGATCCAAGATTGAATAAGATCCAGCTCTGATGCACTCCGAGAAGAACACCACTTTAAATCATTGACCCTCTTTTCTCTGCTGTCCATACTGACGGAAGAGTGGTTTGTTTTTTCTCCTCCATTTGTATTTTTATAGAGTGCCACAGCCTGAAATAGATATTATGTTTCCTTCTTCTCTGGTTAGAAGTTATGGTTGCTAATGTCATCAGTTACCCTAATTGAGTGACTGACAGCAGCTGACGTTAATATGGTTGCCCAGCAGCAAACAAAGAAAGATCCTGATGCTTCCACTTCTTCCAATTTCCTACAATCAGGTGAGAAAAGTGCCAACAAAGATACTGAGTCCATCATACTTAGAAGTGTTTATATTAATGAACTAGAATAAACTAGAAACACCTTTCATACATTTTAACAGCACCACACAAACTACATCCTCCAAAATGACGAGTCAACACCTCTCTAAACTAGGATTTATTGTCAGGCTGCTGTTTAGGGCCAAAGTTAAATTCCACGCAAAGTGAAAATGGGAATTTGCTTTGCCATCAGAAGCAAATGTTAGCAACTGTATGTGAGCCCGTCACATACAGTTGAAATGAGCACAAGGCCGCTCACTCTGTCACAGACCGCATGCTGCTAATAAACACAACTATCTAGTTGTGCAGGCTGAAACTATCTTCATCATCAATGAGACAATTGTTTTTTCACCTGGTTTTGGTCTATAAAATCAAAAGGTAAAATCTTCAAGTTGCTTGTCTTGTCAAACCAACAGCCCCCAACCCAAAAATATTCAATTTTCAATGATGTAGAACTGGAGCCAGTTAGCAATTAGCAATTTTGACTCAAAAACTACTTAAAAATAAACCAGTTATCAAATTTGTTGCAATTAATCAATCGTATAATCGAGTGGTTTCCAACCTGGGAGTTCGTGTGCCCCATTGGTCACAGAATGAACGTGAAGTAAAAAGTATTTTAAATATGAACTTAAAGCTTTCAACAAGAATGAAGCTTAATTTTACAGACTTTAACTCATTTTCCTAACTTCTTTATTGTAAAATGCTGGATGTTAGCTTTACCTCACTGCACGTCTAAAAATTATTATTAAATATTATTATTAAGTGCAACCATCACAGAAGGGAACTGTTTACGACTGAAACACATCTCCCTTGAAGTCAATTTAATCGTTTAGGCACTACACAGCACTGTAACGTGGAGAGTCGAAAATCGGGGCTGACTGGCGGTACGTGAACGCAGCATGTGAACAAACATCCCTCCAGCTCCTCCACTACTCTCTTTACTCTCTTCCAAACACTAATGCCTGCGTGGCTTCACAAACACAAGCATTTCTGCCGATTGATAACCGATACTACAATAAGTTACACTTCAGTGGACTTTTATAAGCAGGGCTAACTGTTTATAATGACGAACAACAAGCTCTTGAACAGTGATAGCCAGTGTGCAACGTTATCTACTTTATTACCCGACACATCACTGTGAAGATATAAATAAAACTTCACTGCACATTTTCATGAACTTCACTTGCGCCATTGTTGTAGTTTTATCGCAATACAACTATTTCTAAGGTAGGAGGAGACTTTTAAGTTGGTTTACCACTTCTTCATAGTAGTTAGTCCATTTTTTCAGACGGATATTTGAGGGCTGAAGTGGTGAAACACAATTAGCAATGTTAGCCGTGAAATTGCTGTAAAGTTATCAACAAAAACGCTCTTACACGGAAAATAACACAAGTTAATTACTTTTTAATTAACACTGTGGACAGTTATCCCTTGTTGTTGCTCTCTGGCTGCTCTTTCTTTCTTTTTTTGCAGCAAACAGCTAGCTTCCCCCCTTTACTCCACCAATAACAACAGACTCACCACACAACTTCAAGTGCAAATAAGGGGGATCCGCAAACCAGCTGTCGGGGGGAAAGCGGCTCTTTTCCGGTCCCGGATGTCACAAGAAAACCACACAGTAAAGAAATTCTTCTATTAATCTCCAATGCGTTGAACAAACACGTGTCCCCTTTGCCAGTTTGTCCGCGTTATTGGCTAAAAAACGGATAAATCCACAGTTTCTTTGCCTAAAACGTCGAGGGGGAAAAACGTTGTGTCGTGGTCTCGTTTGTGTCCAGCTGCACGCTTCTGTCATTGGTCGGAATCTACGTCAGTCAACGCGTTCCAGCGATGCTATTGGTGCAGACGACCCCACGCCCCGCCCCACCTCTCCATTCACCTAAGTAAACAAAATATAACCCATTTTTCTTCTTGTCCCTTTTTTGTAATCAATGTGACGAGTTAATATTTGACAACGTGGCTGTGTTAACTAGGTCTGCTCTTTCTTCAGCAGACGAGGATTTAGTTTTATGTTAGTTACAGCTGTTAGGGGGAGAAAGTGTGAGGATAAGAGGGGAGTAAAAAGTACAGCAGAGGAAAAAATCTGATATGTGAGTGTGAGCAGTGGCGTGTACATGCTTTTCAGGGGCGAGGTAGGCCCCAGCTTGCGCCTTATCTGTCATCATTACATTCAAGTTACACTTGTTTTTCAGAAAGCTAAATATGTGAAGTATTTACCTGAAGTCTTTTAGCTTTTTGTCTATTTTTGATCAAAGCCAAAAACTGGTTTTGTCGTGCAGGTTTAGGTGATCTGAGAATGTTTATTCTTCTGAATCTAAAAAACCTGTTTGACATAATTAACATGATGACAGATCGCAGGTTGTTGGTGTTTGCAGGAAGAGATTTCATGTTTCAGAGTCACTCTAAAGGTGTCATATTACAGCCTATGCTGACAGTTAGTTTAGTGAAAACAGCAGTAAGCTGTAAGTTTAAAAGTCTAGGTTTCATGTCTTAATTAAGTTGGTCTGTGGTTGTGTTCTGAAAATGGCCATTAACTTATTTCCAGCACTTACTAGTAATTGAGGCCAGGCACTTCATTAGCTTTTTGGTACTTAAACACATGCGTGTGCAATACCTATTAAGAAGAAGACTTATTTCATTAATCCCCCTTGGGAGAAATTCAATTTATTCAACCCATTGTTATTATAAAACACACACACATAGGCCTGTAATACACACATGCACACCCAGGACCCACAGACATGCAGTTATTGGAAAAAGAGCAACAAGGCTGCAGCCACATAGTCATGCAGCATTTAGGGCCTCTGTGTCCTACATACCTCACGATAACTGAGGGGAAATTAACAAGACGTGATTACAATTTTCATATGGATCATCAACACAGATGTCCTCTTGAATGGTCCTCAAGTACTTGTGGCAATAAGCTACAAGAAAAGAGACGTCCTGGGTTAGCATAAGAGGCTGCATTACCATAAAATCACAGCGGAGGGCGACTGTAACACACAGTGTGGTTGTGGGGCAGTATGCTGTCTCCAGGAGCAGAAACATTATTATTGGGTTGTAAGTGTGTAGCTGGAACTACGGACATAAATACTGCACCTTGATCCCCATAACCACTTATGTCTGTTAAAGTGCAGACTAATTCAAGTACTGACCAATGCAGATGTCAAAATAAGGGAAAAATCCCGTTAAATATTAAAGGAGCTACAGTACCATGTCTGAACCTGCTTTTTTGCAACTTTTCTGTAGTCCATCTTTGATATTATGACTTTAGAATTTTCTGCATCGACTGCTGATCTTTTATCAGTAATACATGAGTACATTTAAAGTTAAGTCAGACTTTTATTGTCTTAAATGTCTTTTCTCACACTGACTAAAAGTTCACAACATTCACACCAAGGTGAAAACAGAGCAGGAATGAAGTTTTTTTATTTGATAGCGCCATTTGTTCTTGTTAACTTACCAAGCCTCAGCTCCAAATTAGGGTTGATTTCCTTGACATCTTGAGAGTTTAGCACTAAACCAAGTGACTACACTGCATATTCATCCCTGCACCCTGCACCAAATCGCTGTTCGGCCTTTATGTAGTTACAGTCAGAGAAGCTCCACGTCACCATAAATCGTCACTGTAACTGATTTCCAGCTTGCTAACGTTACATTATTTCTGCATTACCTCAGCTGGATGCAAGATGCATGGTTGTTCATATGTGTTGAGCTGAGGAGATGGGGACATTAAATCAGTGCTCAAGAACTCCAGATGTTCCTTAGAGTGTCAGCTCAAATATATATGTGTATGTGTGTCTGCAGTTGATTTATCCACACTGACCTGCGATTCCTCTACTTGAGAAACTCCTAAAAGGCTGCAGGAATGGCTTGTGTCCTTGTGATCGCACACACACACACACCTACAAGATGCATCCAAAATCTCAATGACTCTGGGCTTTAGCTGTGGTTTCTGCTCTGTGCTCGCATGACAAAGGCAGTTATTGCCGTCTTTGGGTGAAGAATTGTTTAATCTGAGACACCTCCTAGTGCAGATTTAATAAACAGCCCACAATCACATATATTCTCATGGGAGTGCACAGTAATGTCATGCATGCACACACACCAACTATTCTCACACTCAATATTTCGTTACAGACAAAAGGAGGTACTCCACTCTTTTCCCCCTCTTTCCTTCTCCCCACTGCTGTTACATGACATCCCCCTCCCTCCTCTCCTTCAGTCCCTTTCTGCTATAAATTTCTCCCTTTGCCTTTGCTATTGAATCATAAATCATAAATTCCCTTCCTGTACCTCTCTATCTCCCTTGCCCTCCCTCTCTTTTTTATTATTACACAACAGCCCAGACTTGATGTCAGAGGGCAGCCATGTTTAATATGAGTGTTGTATGTGTGTGGGAGTGAGTACGAGTGTGTATCTTCTACCCCAGCCTTTCCTGTGGCCCTGGGTCCCCACCCCACCGGTGAGTTTGTCCAATGCCACTTACACAGATACATGCACGCGTACACACACACTGAAACATACGACACACCCTCACATGCACATGAGCAGGAAGTGGCACGTTAGCACGAGCTCAAACGTACAATATTCCCTTTATTATTCTCTACACAAACTCAATATTGGTGCACGCACAAGTGCTTATAGACTGAGGCCCTGTTAACACTCACCACTGAGGTGCTGTTAACACTCCAGTAAGCAACAGGCCTAAAATATGTTTTTAACAAGGACTATGGTGAACGTGGAAATATATTCCCGCTACGTATTTGTTCCAGAAACCTTTTAGAAAACAAGAGGTTACACAGAACATGCAGATATTTCAACTTCACTCCCGCTCTAATAGTTCCCCTGTGTGTTTTACACTCGCATGTTCAGACTCTGGGCCCCTCGTGTGTTTAACATGTTTGCTTGAAAAATGGTGCAAACAGTCAAGCAGTACTTGTGCAAGAAGATTTACTTGAAGGGGAGGTTTTATAATTATTACCACTTTATAACCTACAATATTAATGCATGCTGAGTGGATCTGCATATTCATCGTTCATCATTCATCTCGATGAAAGTGTGATTGTGCAGAACATCTATCACTGCTGTTTGAAAGGCCAGATGATGAAACAGCTCGAGTTGTTTATTCTGGAGCTTTTGACCACATCTCTCCTTATCAGAAGCCACGGTAATGGAATTATAGACGTTCAAATTTTTCATCATTCTGGCCACCTCTAAGGACCTTGAGCTGAGATTGGTTTGGTAATCGCAAATACAGATCACGAACTGCCATTGATGAAAAGCGTAATGCCTATATATAGACTTTCATGTCTGAGGGTAAATGTGGATTTACCACCAGCAGCCAGTTAGCATTAGTTTAGCTTTAGAAGTGCTGATGGGCTGGAACCAGGCTAGCTGTTTATCCATGTTTCCACTCTTTGTGCTAAGTTAGCTGTCTGCTAGCTGTAGCTGCATATGTACTGTACAGAGATGAGAGTGGCACCATTGTTAGCATGTGACTCGCAGCAACAAAGCAAATAAAGTATGAACTGTGGCTTTATCATGCACTGAACATTTAGGCTAATTGATGTTGTGGTTGACATGAAGCAATGAAGATATTCCGATATTCCTAAATGTAGTGTTATGTGACTCTTTTGCATCCACAGTTTGGCATTTGATGCTATCTGGAGGGGATTTAACAGGTTCTCACTCAGGCTGCGGTTGAGACTGTGATCTTTTTTAGAGGAGCTGGAGGACGAACAGTGCATGAGTGTGTGTGTGTGTGTGTGTGTGTGTGTGTTTGCGTGCATGTGTATGTTATGGGTGTGTTTCCGTCGCTCGAGGACTTCCAGGATCTCAGAGATAATGTGGAATTCATGAGAGGAATGCCGTACAGGGGTTCCTTCCTGTCACCTGACTCCATCACTTCCTGCGTTGGGCTTCCTGCGTCTGGATTTCCAAGGAGAAGGGTGAGGCTGTATCTAGGCCACGACTCAAGATCTGTTTCATAGCTTTGTGTCACCGAAGTGATGGAGAAGCTTGACCTCGGCCTTCCTGGTGAGTTAAAGCAGGTCTAATGCAGGTTAGGACGAAGCTGATTGCCAAATGTAGGTGTCAAAAATAATGAAAAGTCGAAATACTGCCTCCCGACTGGCAACATTAGTAATTAGAAAATTAACTGGAGCCAATTAATGCGGTTAAGGGATCAAATAAAATGATTTAACAAAGTAAGATGCAAAGAGAAAAGAGAGCAGAATGGCCTATAAAGCAGAGAAGGGACAGATTTAGAAGAACAATAAAAGAGGCAATAAAGCGAAAGAAAGAAAAAGAGAGAGGTGATGGCAGGATTCATATGGGGCCTCTTGGTTTTTTGGGCAGCATAGGGAGACATGCCAGGTAATGGCTTCCAGACACACACACACACACACAAAGCCTAATTCGATTTAGAAATCTGACAAGGAGACTGAGTGTATGTGGATGTGTGTGTGTATATACCAGAGGCCTTTCTTTTGCATACTCAAGAGGTCTGACTTCCTCTGCCCATTGGGAGTGGGGCCTGCTAGTCTGTGTGTGTGTGTGTGTGTTTGTGTGTGTGTGTGTGTCCTCTGCTCTGACCTTTTCCC